TATATATATATATATATATATATATATACACATGTAGGCTTTATAGTTTTTTAAGTTGTAAAGCCGTAGATATATAGATGGCCATATGAATTTTTCAAGTTGTATAGATACATGCATACATATTCAATGCAAACATAAAACAATGTGTCATAATAGGATATGTATAGAAATAAATATTTTTAATATTTTGTATAGTTGTTACATAGTAGATTATGAGGCTCATATAAACCATAGACTAAATTAAAACGATTGTATGTCAACAGTTATACAGCCGCTGTTATTTGTTAGGTAGTCAAATAAATTTAAAAACTATCCTACAAAATGCGCAATGATGCGTTTTGTAATATTGTCGAGGTTTTATTACAACACTACAGCCATTTTTGTTATAGGCTGGCGGATTTGTTAGATTGGAATTTCACGCAAAGCTACACAAGGGCTATCTTCGCTAGCCGTCCCTAATTCAACAGTGTGAGACTAGAGGAAAGGAAGTTAGTCATCACCATTCACCACCAACTCTTGGGTTACTCTTTTACCAACGAATAGTGGGACTGACCGTCACATTATAACGCCCCCACGGCTGAAAGAGCGAACGTGTTTGGTGGGACGGGGATTTGAACCCGCGACCCTCAGATGGCGAATCGAGCGCCCTAACCATTTTGCCAGACTGACGGAACAATATTAAACAATAACAAATAAGAAATGTTCGATCCCTATTATGAACCACTACCGTTGTTCATGATTATTGTAGTTCAGATGTATCCATTTTGTATTTAAAATATTTTTTTCTATGCGACAAATCGTAGGTTGTTGTTGTTGTTGTTTTTTTCCCTAAGTGCATGGATGGAGCAATTTTTTTGTGTTTTGCTTAATAGTTTTTTGTTGTTTTTTTTTCATTAATGATTAATATTTGTTTTATTTGACGATACTTTGGTAAACCTATTAATTTTCTATGCGTATACAGAAATCAGAAAATATTGGTTGTATTTTCAGTGAACCAATTCAGTAGTCATGAAAAAGGTAGATAGAAACCATAAGTGTGTGGTTTTTAACGACAAATACAGTCCGATATTTGAAAATAAACCAAGCATGACATAATAGGTTTAGTATCATTTTATTTTTTAACTAATAACTACGTAATTCAAACTAATAACGTACAAGTTAATTTGCAGTTGAGATACGCAATATTTAAAGTGTAATAAAACATAACTATCAATTGTTCTATAAAATTTGCAACGTATACACAGCATCATTTACAGATTACGGAAACTACTGATCCCCGTTTCTAGGACTACAGTCACGTAGTACACAAGATTCCGTCCCACGCATAAAACAAAACCGTGTGCTATAGTATAGTACAATGCTTGTGAAACTTCAGATGCGACTTTCTGGCCTCTACCTCTTCCGGCAGAAGTCCACCGCTTGTTCTACTGGATTCTTCCTATACTGAAATAGTCAACCGTCTCTTCTGCGAAAATTCAGAAGCAATAAGTGTGAAAGTCTCCATTTACTAATTGTTACTATTGCCAAAATTATATATAAACAAACACAATAACAGAGCTTTAATTGCAACCCATCGATTAAAAATTGCCAACTTTCTGAAAGGTTCTTAATTTTTATGTATTGTTGTGATCAGTTAAGTAGGAAGAGTTGAATATGTTTGCAATGATATAGTATAATTGGCAACATTTCTTATCCACAAAAAAATAATAAACTCAAAGCTATAACAAATCATCCTTTTCACCACCGTCATTTTCTCATTCAATAGTTACAATTATCCACCATTTTAATCTCTCACGTGCCTTTTCTCCCCCTGCCGGTAAAAATATTCTTCTCCTAGCAACGCATGTTTCAGACAAAAAAAAATGTAACCTTGTTCGGTGGCTCTAGAGATATATAATAGTTTTTACTGAAGAGTAAAACACAAACAAAAAATGAATAACTGAAATAAAAGCAAAAGAGGCGTTATTTCGAAGAAGGGGATCTTCAGTAGTCTCCATGGAAACAGACAAAAACTGTAACGTGTTTAGAACAACAAGCTCCAAAACCGCACACCCAAACCAATAAATTAAAACGCCTTTACCTACAAAATTAAGGCTGTGGTTACAAAAGAGAAAAGCTACTGCGATAAAGCTGTAATAATTTGCTGGTGCGTTAACAAGACTTCAAACAGAACTTGGTATTGGTTAAGGCTCATTGGTTTCCAGTTACACCTAGAAATTAACAACCTTTATGAGAAAGACAACAAAAGAAACTGAAATCATAGCAATCCCGTTCGATTATATATCTATTAAGTTCCACAATACAGCTCCGAAAAATTTGTGTGCTTTTACAGATTTGTAGCCATTACCAGCGAGAGTATATCTGTGTAGACCTAAACGGGGTGAATAACTATAATGTGTTTATTGCTGACATTTTCGTCTGTGGAGATTTCTTCATATTCAACCACAAAGTACAATTCATAATGAAATATAGTGGTAAAATTTATATCATCTAATATATCGAATAAAATATACAAATAAAAACGCTTACAAAAAGTTTACACAAACGCATTTATTAATTAAGTGGAGGCAAACAATTGGGTTATTATCGATAGGATCTGGATCGCTGTACTAGAAAATTTAACAAGTTTATCTTTTTTTGTAGTTTAAGCACAATGCCACACCATGGACTATCTGCGCTCTGCCCACCACGGGTAATCGAAATCCGGTTTTTAGCGTTGCAAGTCCGCAGACATATCGCTGTGCTATTGGAGGGCATACTAAACAAAATATTTCTCTTTTGTTTCCTATTTGTCACAAGAGTAAAACGATGATAATTAAAGAAACGTTATAAAATTTTACTTTAAATTAGTTTTAATCTTTAGCAGATGCTGCATTTTGAATGCCAAATTTAAGTTATAAAATTTTAAAATAACCAATAATTGTAAACTGTACATACTTGTACAGTTTACAAGTATTAATTTCCATACCTTCTCTACTTTTCTTCTTTAACTGGAAATAGTGTCTTATATGAAGTATTAGACAGAAAATGACGTGTTTAAAAAGGTTTGCCCACGTATTAACCAGCGTAGCTAATCCCGCAAACCAACAACTCCGCCACTTCAAAATATAGCGTTTTAATTTAAATGTATGCATTTCTGTTCATATCAAAGTCAGACTACAAAAAAATGATAAAGAATTTGCTGAAAAAACATCTATGCGATTCGCATGGAAATATAACAGGTATTAAGTCAGAGAATACAATTTATTTATACCCAAGTCGAAAGTATAATAAGAGCTGTTAACGCTAGGAAACTTATGCCGAGAAAAAACTTGCTTCTTTGAAGAAACCTACATGAAAATTAGAAGTAGGTAGGCCTATCAAATTCGAATCCTTGTTAACCGTGACTTTGATTTTATTTCCCCTGAAAACTTAATTAGTTTAAATAAAAGTCAACTTCTTTCAAAGATGCTTTTCATTCTTTAATATAAGTCCAAACTTTACGTTAAATTTGGGTCTGCTCTAAACATGAGAATAAATTAAACTAATCTCTCGGCTTCTAATAAATGCCTATTAATTGTCAGATATTTAGAAAACATTTGTAGTTTAACCCATGCAGAGATTGTTTACTTAGACTTCATGATTTCATGCACCCATATAGTTATTATTCTTCATTTGTAGCAGACTTACAACAACAGAGTCCATGCAACCAATTTTTCTTACAGCCAATCAGAAATGTTATTAGATATCAAACAAAATATATGTGGTCAGAGATCTATTTTATGTATATTGGGGCAATCGAACGGGTAATGGTCTATCTTCAGTCACATATTAATTTTTGAAAACCAGCAGTCACAAGCAAAAATGCAACAATAACTGAATAAGGACGACTTCCCCCATCGGGACATTATGCAAACTGCTGCAATGCATTTGACGCATTCTTAGAAACTGATTTTAAGCTCTAATTGTTTAGCCAATATGCAGCATATGATATTGCCCGGGCTTGTCCATTAATGCCAATTCACCCCTAAGAAACATTCATTATCTTGTGTTTAAAACTCATCACGTGAGTTACCGAATGTGATCAAATTATACACAAGAACTTGTCAGCAAATTACTTCATTTTTCAAGATATTTGGCCCCAATACATATGTGAGCAACTATACGCTGAATATTGTTACGACAGAGGAAGTCACGTGACGTTACTAGCGCAAGCGTGATTGAGTTTCTCGAATTATCGGGGAACCCGCGAATTTTGGAGAAGCCTCTTTGTTCGAACGAAACAACGGGTATTAAAACATTTCTTTAATATTTAATGCTTCCATTCATTTATTTCACTTTCAAAGAAACGCTTGTTCATTACTTGTATTCATAAAAGCAATATTCACTGTACAGGCAGGCACTGGTTAAGGCTCCGGTGGAGAAGTCAAAACCTAAAATAAATAAACTGTTGTGAAAAGTCCTAATATATCAATTATTCAACATCTTTTAATGAAGATATAAAAGTTAATTTTGTTTGAAATTAACTATATGATTCTTTGGTCATAAGGATGCCTTATCTCTAACTATGTAAATACAAACAAATTATTGTTACTGTATATTACTTTCAGCAACATAATTTATAAACTTAACAATCTGTATGTGGAAATCATGCAAAAATTAATAATTATATTAAATTTTTTTAATATACTTCACCAATTATTTACACTCTTTTCGTGATGTTAAGTAACAATGGTAAATATAAATGTTGTTTCTCATTCAACTTTTCCTTTGCAGTAAATTTATTAATTAAAATATACACTTGAGTGAAACTAGTGTTATATCTTATCTGCCACACAAGAAAGACAATATATATTACTGAAAAGATTCAGACATCTTTTTTTTAGTTTTAAATAGAATCACAAACATGGTTTAGTGTATGATTAAATCTTCAAATTAAAGTGAATTGAAACAAACTTCTTGGGATTTTCTGGGATTCTAAATGCTTATCTAACCATGTTGATATTTATTCATTTCAAGACTTCTAAATTATACTATTATTAAAAGATAAAATAATTAATCACAAGCTTTGTTGAAACTTGGCAAAACAAAGTCAAAAATCCATTTTTTTCATGTTCTTTACAGTTAATGAAATCACACAATGGCTTTTACATTTTAGAGGTTTATATTCCAAATTAGAAGACTGGTTAAAATATGAATTCATATCAAGAAATCTCAAATAACATTAATTTGGTACAAGTTATTGTCAAACTTAATTTCATATTTAACAATTTCTGGATTTTTTTTTTCTAAAGGAACACAAATCATAGATTTATACAGCCACTCAAGTGATAAAACTGGGAGGCTAGTTCCAAAATGGTTCACTTTCAAACACCTCTACTTACAGAAAAGGTTACTGTTAGTTACATCTGTTAAAATCACCAAGAGGTTACTCTCATATCTTCTTTTAAAATTGACCAATTAGGAGATGGTACATCCAATGCCAGCCAATTGAAGTCATCAACCATGTTCCAATTATTCTGTGATTTGTTAAAACCTGCTAGTTCAAAATGCTCATCAAGTTCTTTATAATCCCACGAATAAGGAGCAAATTTCAACTCAGTTGAATCTTCAATTATTGCTCTACTTGTAACATGGAGATAAAAAGTAACTCTTGATGTTGTGTGGACCCGCAACTGTTGGCAAGCTACAGCAAATATACAGTCTACACAGTCCTCAATAAACATAGATGTTGAGACAGGTCCAATTAACACTGTACACCCTCGAAGACCACTAGCATGGACAGTGCTAGGTGCTCCATAAATACGTACAATACAGTTTTCTAATGAGTTGAGTCCAACATCTTTCTTATTAACTTCATTTTGGTTCATTTCCAGATTCATATTTGAAAGTTTTTCAAAACCACAGTCATTAATATCAAATTTCTTTTCTTGTCGAACATGACTTTTAATTAAACTATCTATTATGTCCTTTCCAACACCTGCCTTTTTCTTGTTTTTAAATGCAAACTTTTTTTTTGGTAAGAATTTGCTTTCTGCATCTTGAATTGCTTCTTGAATATTTTTCAATGTTTCCTGGGCTACTCGGATATCATAAGATGGAAGAAACATTGTAGAATCTGCCAAAAATTTTTCAAGTTTTTGATAATCCTTTGAAATGGTTTCTAAAATACTGAAAACTTTACTTTTATCGGCACATTGACATTCATCCAGTTTTTTGTAAATATCTTGTTTGATCTGTGTGAAGTTACTGAAGTAAAAATCATTTTGTTCTTTAGCAGCAGTAGCCCTTTCTCTTTCAGCTTTCCTCTTCTCTTGTTCTGCTAACCTCATGTCTTCTCTTTTCTGAAGCCTGTCTGTTAGCTGATCAAATTTTGTTTCTGCCATTTTCTAAGATTTTATGAAAATTTCAATATTTTAACTAACGATTGCCAAAAATTGTATTTTTTTATTCCCACAATTTCTAACTTGATTTCAAGGTAATCTTCAGCTTCTAATCAGTGTTGGATAAGTTCAAAAAGTTCCTCTTTTGTAGACAACTAAAGAAAAATTCATAAATAATATCAAAACTGGAACTATAAATTCTCATTTTATACAACTTTTACAAACATTAGTTGTATACATGAAAGTATTTTTCCTTTATATTTGTATCAAATCAATGCACAGGGAGAATTCTGTGGGTACATGTGTAAATTTACCAACAGCCTACTCCTTGTCAAAGTAATTTATGTTACTTTACTGAAGGAGTAATTTCATTCTTTAAATAAGAATATGAAAATTCTTAAGATGTAAAGGTATGAGACTAATATATGAAATATAGTAATAAAAAAATCAGAATCTTATAGAAACAAATTTATTAATATTAGAACTACTGAGGAAATTATTTTCTAAAGGCATCTGTCTCAGTACTAATTTCACACCATTTAAGCAGTCAAAATGCATTATAAATCATAAACACTAGTACAGATTTGCTTTAATTTTTATACTAATTCCTTGCTACATGGAACAATTCTACTATGCAAGCCACTGGGTTGGCAAAAATAAAACAAAAATATTATTTACTAAGAACTAAGTATATAACTGAAAATACTATAGATTTGAACCATAAAGGAAAAATTATGATTACAGTTAATTTAGTCACAGTAACTACTTAAATTTAATGCTGAGCAATTAACTCAATTAATCAATTACCTATCAGCATTGATTATATTGATTAATATCAAGCAAATAAATTAATAAATCAAAATTACAATTAAACCAATATCACAAAACTAATTAACTAACTGAAATTAGTTTCTGATTGTTACTGTTTCTGATTATCCCAAATATCCAAGTAATCAAAATACTGCCATTATGATTTCTCATTAATATCTTTAATTAATTCAAAGTCATTCAGCTTTATCAATTAGTCACACTCACAAAAATAATCAATTTATTAAAATTAGTGTTTCTGGTTGTTACTAGTTTCCATTTTTCCAACTATCTACGTTGCACAGGAGAATAATTGGTTGGATGAATTCAACTGATTAATGAGATAAATGATTAATCAATTATCAAATTTCACTAATCACCCAGGTCTACTTAAATGTTTATATTGTATCATTAAATAGAAAAAATAAAAGATTGAACAAAAAGATCACAAAAACTAATCTTTTGAACAAAAAGTATGCTACCTTTTAATATCAACCTGAAAGAAACCTTTTCTTCTATAGGATTCTCCAACAAAACCTTGTAATATCCAAATATATGAGCACAATCTCCTTCTTCAAATACCCATTTAAAAGCTGGACTAGAAGAAAGGAAATTCTTGGTACAGGAGTTATATTCAAAATAATCTGCTAGTATGTCAGATTATAAATGCTCCTAGTAAGGAAAATACATGAAAATGTTATCATAAATGAATCAATGAAGAAAATATGGGGATATGATTCCCTTAATTAGACATACTAAATATTTTCTTCATCTTTACTTATTCATGATGAAGTTTGAAGTGTGAGAATTGTCTGTGATATGCTTTTAAAAGCTTCTATCAAAGCACCATGAGAAATGAAAATTTAAATACCTGAAACTTTTATTTTAAAAAAAAAAAAAAAAAAAGATAATTTGAAAATTTATTAATTGACACCACATAGAAAGCATTCATTTCTTTCAGATCATGCTATTTCTACACATCAGTGTCATCAATCAATTAGAGATCCAGATGGAGTGGGTGTTAAGAAATTCTGTAGAATTATATCAGAAAAGTTGTTAGTACAATATAATGTTTCACAGCCAAATTTAAGCATTACTTAAAGGTTAGAACAGTTAATTTATTGTCTTTCAGATTGGCTGATTAGAATTGAATACTTGTTAAATTGTATTAATGGGTAGAGGCTAGGCATCTGTGATACCATTAAGTCTTGGGTAAAAATATTATGTAGGTTAATTGACTGGGAAAAGGAAGTCTAAGTAGGTTTATTAGTAATATTAAACTAATCTTTTAAATTAAATTTAGCATACAAAAAATAAAAAATTATCATAACATGATAATTTTCCGACACTGAAACTATATTTCCGACAGGTACTTACTTCCACTTACATATATAGGTGTTCTCGTTCAGTACTGCCCTCTATTTGCAAAATTGTTTCACACGACACATCTTTTATTCCTACATACACTCTCAGTTCACAGGGTTTAACTGATTCACACATGCAAGTTATCATGCAACAAACCATTACCAATAGACGTGCCTCACAAAAATGACTCCCTCTATACTATTCTACCTAACTATCACTTTGGGTTTAGGCAGAAAAGTAAGCACCAGTAGACAGTGAGGAAGGAAGGATGGGAAGTGCAAGCAGAAGTAGGTACCTGTCAAAAATATATTTTCAATGTAGGAAAATTATAACTTCCAACAAGGTACCTTACTTCTGCTCACATACATAGCTAGAATCACACACTGAATAGGTGGAGAGACCAGGGCAAGGGAGAAAAGAGGGAACCCTCAAAGAAGAGGATGATACGTGGAAGACAGCACCACTTCTGTACCAGGAATACTCTTTGTCCAGACATGGAAAAGGTGAGATGGGAGGCAAAATTGAAGAGCACATCTCATTATGGGTAAAAGAAGGGATGTGCCCCAAGATGTAGTGTGGCTATAGCTCAACAGACCATACATGGAAAGTCAACTGCATCCAAAACTCTACCACCAGGAACTAACATCCACACGGGGATAGAACGAGGATCATACGGTTGGTAAGTCAATTTCAATCCAAAACTCAACCGCCGAGAATTGACATCTATGCAGGGGGAGGATGAGGGATCCCAATGATGTCTACACCAGCAGAGCACTACTGCCCAACTCTCAAATAAATAGATGCATTATTTTTATATTGTAAATTTGACATTCAGGAGGAGACCTCCATAGTTCACCATACCATCAGCTTGGAACTGGAAAGTGGTAAGGACTCTCTTACTCCACTGGAAGAAATGGGGGGAGGCACATTGGAGAATCCAGGGGAACGTTCAAACCGGAGACAGTGCAATGGGTGGCCACAAAACCCTATATAGAAAAGCAGACCAATAGTGGGGATGGGCAAGTATCCCGTTCGGCTTTACCCATGAAGTTCATGGGTGAGTACGGTCCAGAACAGGCATATTCAAGATGCAAATATATCATGAGGAATAACCTACAAGTGATCTTGAGGAACACCCCATCTCTAGTATACTACAGAACAGTGAGTTTAACAGCCATGGAAGGAAAATATAAAATAAAATCAACATGGTCTTTCAGTGCAAATTTGAGTCCCAAACTAAATAACTGAAGTATATCTGGCCGGACAACACTTGCCACAGAGCAGGATCTAGATCAAAACATGGGATAAGCCCTCCAAAACGATAAATAAGGAAAAAAAGAAAACTTACCAAGTTATAGTCACACCAAGGTCTGAAGAATGGCAACAAGCAGAAGATGATAACCTGACAAGGAAGAAACAGCAACACGATGCAGATAGTGAGAGATGAAAGTATGCAGAATGGTCCACATGTCCACAATGAAGAATTTATTCCAATGGATGATGCAGATGAGACTCTGGAGAAAGAGTAAAGTGCCTAATATAATGGGAAGACACCAGGGATAATTAACAAGAAGAAGGAAACAAGGAAGAATAAGCTAATCAAATTAAAAGTCAAACCCAATTGGTAGGAGTGGAAGGAGAAAGATCACAAACAGAGGATAGTTGCCAAGGGATGAATAGACGGGAACGGTTATGATGAAAAGAAGCCATGTGTGTGATAAAACTACAAAGAGCACGAATGGGACATAGAAGTCTATCCAGATTAGACCGGGAATAGAGGTGAGAAATGGAAGGAAGGAAAATCATTGAGAAGTAGGAATTACCCTCCCTAGCTTCCAAAGGAGGAATGATACAGAGTATGTGAAATATTGATGGCAAAGAAACCCGAACAACGACATCCACAGGCCAAAAGGAAAATGAAATACACTGTAAGGGATAAAAGAAATATGGAACAAGAATATAAAGATTCAAAAAGAGGTAAAGTAGGGTAGTGAAGCACTACATTGACATCCCAATCTGAAAGAGATGCACACCATAGAGGGCAACTAATCCAAAAGGAACGATACAGGAGGGACAAGGTATGGGAGGCAAAAACTTTAAGGTACCCAAAAAAACAAGAGGTGTGGGATAAGGCCACCCAATAACCTGCGATCAAGAAAACCAAAGACCCCTGATCAAATAACCAAGTAAGGAAATTCTTAATAATAGGAGCAGGGGAGAACCCCTGGCCCAAAGACCAATGGCAGAAGACATTCTACTTATGTTGATAAACCTACATGGAAGATAGTCGAACAGAATGTGCCAACAATGAAGCTACTTGCCAAGAACTGGATAAAAACCAGGTATGAAGATGAAGAGCAGGAATGGTGGGATGAACTACCTGGGGTTGGGGCTGCTGTACAAGAGGTGGGGCATTGGGAAGAGGCAATGGTGGAGCAGATTGGATCTGAAACAGCCATGAAAAAGACCAATATGGGGTAATCAGAAGGACCTGATACAGAGTGTATGATAGAAATCACCCTGGGAAGGAGATGGATAGGAAAATAAACACAAAGGAATTTATCCAATCTCGACTGAATGCATCAACAGCCAGAACAAGTAGATGAGGTACCAAAGGCCAAAACTGAAGTAACTTGGTCTTGAGGATATTGGCAAATGCATCTAGGTATGAGGTACTCAACTGAGTGCTCAACCACTGGAAAACCTGAAAATCTAAAAACCACTCCATCAGATAAATTTTGGCTGGGTGGGAAAACAATCTGCAACCAGGTTGAAAGCATCCAGAACATGACAAGCAAGGAGATGAATACTTTGCTTGTGGGCCCAAAACAGGAGATTCAATGTTTGAGAACAGGTGCCTCCCTGGTGATTGATATACACCATGACCATAGAATTGTCTGTATGGAGCATAACCAGAAGGTTGTGGGCAAGAGAAAGAAAATGATACAGACCTTTCTGTCATAAACCGTAGACCTGAAACAACTTGTTGTTCAACCCACAACCCCAGCTGTGAAACGAAGCATCTGTGAAAAGATGTAAATCCAGATAAGAGGGAGGATGCAGAACCTCACCAAAGTGTGAGCCTTGTTTAATCACCAATGCAGATCATTGACAAGAGAAGGAGAAAGGCTAATAGAAGCATCCAAGGGATCCCATGCAAGGTTCCATTGATCATGAAGAGTCCACTGAAGGGATTTTGCATGAGCACAACCCATGGGGATAAGTGCCACCATAGAGGACCACATCCCCAAAAGGAATAGATCCTCACAAGCAGTAATGAAGGGAGCAGTAAGGAAATTGATGACTGCCAGCTCCATCAAAATGAGTCAAGGAGAAGGTTGGGCTCGACTGAGAATAGTGTGAAACAAAACACCCAAATGGATAAGATTTTGGGTAGGAGCAATGATGGATTTCTCCAACTTGATCAACCAAGCAACCTGAGCCACTTCCGAAAGAAGCAAACGAGTGTGTTGGACAGACTCCAGCTCGGAATGAGCCAAGAGAAGCCAGTCATTAATGTAATGGTAAAAGCACAACCCTTGAGTGTGCATAAGACCCGCAAAAGCCTTGACCACCCGAACAAAGACATACGGGGCTGTAGCAAGCCCGAAAGGAAGAGTGCAAAATTGATAAACTACCCTGTGATGAACAAATCGAAAGCAGTGTCCAGATTGTCTTGATATGAGAATATAGAAATAAGCTATTGAGACATTGACCTTGATCATCCATAAACCCAGAGAAAAAGCCCACTTGAGATTTAGAAATGACTCCATGGTAAAACGAGGTAGCACACAGAAGCAAATGAGGTGTGACAGATCTATCACAAACTGCCAGTCTTCTTGGGGACCACAAACAGCCTGGAAAAGAACACTGAAGAAGGGTGAACTACAGGTTTGATGGCATGTTGAGAGAGATCTTGTACTGCCTCATACAGACACTGACATTTGGGAGGATCCCAGGCAATGAAAAGGAAATGGGTATATGAGACAATGGAGGAGGGGAGAGGAAATGGATGACAAGACCCTCTGATAAAATCTTAAGGACCCATGGATCTCTGGTGAAATCTCAACATAAATGAACAAACTGGAATAAATGAGCCACCACCAGACCGGAACCCACAGGTTAGTCACCAATATAGTTGGCGATGTGACATTCTTTATCAAAGATAATGATAAGAAGATAATCCCCTTGTAAAAGGAATGGGTATGGGTTGGGAAGGAGTAAGATTGGAAGCAGATACAGGGGATTGTTGAGGCTCTGTGCTAGATAAACGATCAACCAATGAGTTGCTTGGTGTCTCACAGATTCCACCCAAAATTCCAAAGTTGACAGAAGATTTCCAAAGACCGACAGATGGTGACAAAGTGACGAGGTGTAAGTCCCAAAGATTAGGAGATTGTAAACAAATTTGGGACAAAACTGCATCGCTCCTCAAAATATCCCAACAAGAGAGAGAAACCACATATGTAAAGAAAGAGCCAAAGTCACAAAACATGTCAACAAGGAAGAAATTAGGGCAAATGAATCCTCAGGAACCCATAGGAGTAACCATGGAAAACATAACAAATTCAGGTCGATGAAAAAGACTGTCAAAACAGTCATCATCCTGAACAAGTTTGGCTTGTTCAGGAGTAAATTGGGTGACACTGGGATAACAAGATTGGTTCAAATAATGATCATCCTCTCTTGACGAATAATTACTGATAAGTACAAATCAAGTTACCTTCACCTTAAGCCTGAGTAAATGTGATAATAGAAGGTACAACCTCCAATGTGCATTTATTTCAGAATTCATAATGTAAACTAAACACAACTGTATTCGTAAAGAAAGACAAACACAGAAAATTAATAAATTTCTGTAAATGGGTTTCGAAAGAGAAATAATACCATTACAAAATATGAAAAAGAGATAAACTACAGATGAAACTAGAGATAAACACTACAAATATTCAAATTTGATTTGAGAGAGCACTAAAGAAAAAAATCTTAACACAAGCACTGCCAAATGAGAAGTGATAGTTAGGTAGGATTGCATAGGAGTTGTGTGTGTGTGTGTGTGTGTGTGTGTGAGAGACACATCTATTGGTGGAGGTTTGTCGCATGATAACTTGCATGCATGAATCGGTTAAATCAAGTGAACTGAGAGGGTATGCAGGAATAAAAGGTTTGTGGTGTGCAAAAAAATTTTGCAAGTAGAGAGCAGCACTGAATGAAAATAGCTAAGCACGTGAGAAGAAGTAAGATACCTTATCGGTATTAGTTTTAATGCATTTATGGATGGTACTTCAATACAATTTTTGAGTGTCTAACTTTTAATTTGTTGGCTTTTAAGACCTTAGGTGGTATAAATAAAATCTTATAATCATAATTCACTTGCTTAACCTAGTTCACATCATAACATTCATTTTTCATGAAAGTTGATGATATAAATAGCATCCAGACCACTATCAAGTCTGTTGTATCCCAGCTGACCTGATTAACCCTGTTACTGGGCAAAAGGCCTTTTCAGAATTAGGTAATGCAGATGTAGTGTTTTTGACATATTATAAAGTATTGTTCTTTACTTTCACTCATAAGTTCTTAGAATTACTATTATTAATTGTACCTTTTGGGGCAAAAATGGTCAAGAACTGTATTATAGAATAAATGGAGCATAAATAGGGTTACCAAATTTTAAGTGAAAAACTTGAACTTTTTACCGTATAGATTGGCACTGTAACATCTCTCAAACAGTTTAATTATAACAACACATTTTTAACCGTATGTGAACTTAGGGAAGAGGAGGTTAAGAAGGGATAAAGTGTTCTCACTCTTTGCATTTTAAATACACAGACACATTGTTTGTTAATAATTTTTCTACTTAAGGAAAAATAATAATAATTAGCAAAACCAAATCCTAAATTGTCTTGAATCTACAAAAAAAAAAAACGTTGGTTCTTTGTATTATTTTTACCTGCTAGGTAGGTCTTCAAACTTCAATTCCTGTGGTTGCCCAATGATAGGTTAAAAAAATGTAAAGTACTTGGAGAATCACTTGACAAAGAACAGGTGATTCTCCAACTAAAACTTAAAGGAGACATAAAATAATGCCATACTGTACATATGAAAGGACATTCAAAGTTTTGATTAAGCCAAGGAAACTAGATTAGCAGTATCTACCTCAAGTTTTTAAAATAATCATACAGGTGAACAGTTATTATTAATTATTCATTGCCAACTTTTCAGCACAAATTTACTAAATTTTATGAAATTCTTAATTAAAGAGCATTTAGCATCACGTGATATTAGCTTAAGCAATTAGCATAAATAATGATTCTTCATATGGCTGTACCAATTACATGGGGGTGATGATAAGAAACTATTAATCTAAATTCCGTGGCATTACTACAAAGGATGCTATTAACACTGTTTTAGAGAGGAAAAACTACCACTATGTATCTTAAATAATCTGGCTGGTTCTGTAAAGCAAAAGTCTGTTCCAACTAATAGGGTTGTGATCTTAAAGCTATCGATT